TGCTAGCCATTGTTATTTGCTATAGCAACTGGAAAGAATAGCAGCAGATACACCAAAAGCCAAGCAAATTTAAAAATTAATGCGCATACTAACTCCAGGAAAAAGGCTTGTAAAGAATTGAAATAACCTAGTATGCTTTCTGGCTCACAAGTGAAGAACCTTTGTACATTAAGTGTACATTATTACATTATTCTACTAACTTTAATTACAAAATTGATTCTACTCTGTTGGGAAGGTGGATAAGAGTATATATGAGCTAAATCTGTACCTGTCCTAACATTGCGTCAATGGACGACATTCAAAATTGATAAAACTGTAAGTAGCTGGGTAAACCTATTATTTAGAAATATGGACAAAATATCAGAAGAAATGAGTAAAAAAGATGTTTTTAGGAAATGGGATTAGGAGCAGGGGGCTGGGAAGAGGGGAGACGGGTTTCTATTTCATCTTGTGGGTATACATAAGAAATAAGAATTAATATATACATACCTTGGGTGAGGATTCCTACCAGGCCAGTCTGCTTCTGCCATATCTCTGCTGGCACTTGAGACCCAAGGCCACATCTTGAGTGTGTCATAGGGCTATCTGATGGCTTCAGCTTCTGTCACCGGCCTTAGTGGAAGGTAAGGCATTTTTTCTGTGAAGTTGTGCCTCAGACATTTGTGGATCCTTGCAACAGAAGGGAAGCAGATTTTGAGCTTGGAACTGACAGAGCTGTATTTTTGCAGTTATTCTCTGTGTTAAGTTACATATTATCCACATGTGGGTATAAAATGGGAAAGCAAAAGTGCTCATTTGTTATTTCAGAAGCATAGGTCTCGAAACCTTGATAGAACAGAGACAAAGATGGCAGTCCTGGGGCTTGCCCAAACTAGTAAACCTTTAGCCTCAGTGAGATTTTTTTTTTTTTAGATTTTTATTTATTTATTTATTTGACAGAGATACAGTGAGAGAGGGAACAAGCAGGGGTGTGGGAGAGGGAGAAGCAGGCTTCCCGCTGAGCAGGGAGCCCGATGCGGGGCTTGAGCCCAGGACCCTGGGATCATGACCTGAGCCGAAGGCAGACACTTAATGACTGAGCCACCCTGGTGCCCCTCAGTGAGATTCTTAGTAAGCTCGGTGTCCCTGGGCCTAGCTGGAAGGGAAAAGAATCAATGTAAAGAATGTACAACATAATGGAAATACCATTCAAAATTTTATATTTTCAGGCTCTCTGATGTTAGAAATCCTCTTTTGGTAAGCAAGAGTTACTTACCTACATTTGGATTTTTGGCCATGATTCTAAGCCTGTTTCGTTATAAAGAAAGAAAGTGACATGCATTCTGACTACTTGGAGCTCTGGAGACTCTCCAGTCTGTCTTGCCCTTTATTTGGAGAGGTTACAAGCTCATCTGGACCCTAATGCCATATTTGGACAAGTTATACAATCCTAGAAACACAAATTAGAATCAGTCACATTTTGTCCTTTATTTGCAAATAACAGATGTTGGGAAGCAAGCATGCTGCTGCCTGCCCTGACTCAGTTTCCTTGTTGGACTCAAGGCTCTCCTATGCCTCGACCCCTCCTCCCCCCAGCTCTCCCTGTGAGGCCTGTAGTGGGAAAGCAGAAAACCTGGCATGCTGGGTGCCCCTCGTGGAGCAAGGGGCGGCTGCCCTGAGCACTACACACCCCCCACCCCCTTCCGCAGCACACAGCTTGGGAAGATGGGTGGGGACAGGCCTCTGGTGGCCATGCTGTGAGGTGGGAGGAGGCTCAGGTCCAGTGGACCTGGAGCAGGTGGAAGGCTCACATCTCCTATTTTCCACTACTTCTGTGAAGCAAGCCTCATAACACTTCTGACCCTGCTTTCCCATCTGGAAGACATTTCCCTTTGCCTCAGTTTTTATAATACCAAGTCAACCATGTTGGCTCCTCCTTGGTTCACGTCTCCGTCCATGCACTCCATCCGTCTTTGGTGGCCAGAGCTATTCTGAAGTCTTGGCGAGGACACCTGAAGAGAGTAGAATACAGACAGCGGTCTGTGGTGCAGAGAGCACCCCTTCCAAGACGGCAGGCCGGGCTGGGGACCGGGGGCTGGGATGCGCACTCAGACTCTTCCATTCCCAGTCACAGGGCGTAAGTGTGCCCACCGCCAGTTGCTGGATGGAAGAGAAAGCGGACCGAGGGCATGACCTCTCACTAAGGGAGGACAGGATTGTCTCCTGTTTTGCTCACTATATTCCCCATGCCTGGAGTGCCTGACACACTGAGGTTGAACAGGAGACAGAGGGAGAGGGCAAGTTGCCTTGGGGTGTCTGCATCCCGAAACCAGTTCTGGGGCCGGCTGCACAGGTGTCAGCTCACACCCGCCAACTGGCCCGAAGGGGAAATGCTGTCAGTGAGTTGCAGAAGGAAATTGTGTGTTGTTAGAGGTGCTCCTAAGGGGTCTGTAGGGGTGCTACTCCAGTGAACTCTGTCTCTTCCCCATTTGCACCCAGTTCCTGCTTCTCCTGGCCCCCAGGACACTCGGAAGTCCCTGGTCTGTGCCAGTGGGTTCCCATGGTGGTGCTGAACACGTGAGTGATGAGGGCATGGGTGTGGGCGTTTGGCTGTGAAGAGAAATAATGGAAAAGAGAAGGGCTCAGAATTGCCACCTGAGCCACCAGAGAAGCCTGCTCAGTGCAAAGTGGCTTTGCCATCACCACTTGGCTTTCTGGTGACTTCCCTGAGTTGTTCTGCCTATTGCCCCACACCCCCTCCACAGTCAGCCAGCATCCAGCCCCCGGCAGCACTCTCCCTGCCCTGTGCCCCAGATTTATCTGTCTCTGTGAACAGTTTGGCCTGTCCTCTACCAGGTGCTGCTGCGCTTGGGTCTGGGCCAGAGGCCAAGACCCAAAGTGGAATCACAGGTCTTGCTCGTTGGAGCAGACAGAGGGACACATGAAAATCAGGTGTAGGGAAACGTGCTCACCACACCCAAACTTGCCCTCGAGCTTGTCCCAAATGTGTCCACCTTTGGCCTTTGCCCAAGCTGTGCTCTCTGCTGGGAAGCCCTCCTTGTCTCTAGTCAGCCATCTCTTAGAAGCCCAGTGTGGATCTCCGCACTCCTCTGCCTGCCTCCCCGGGGTGGGGGTAGCACTGCCCTGTGTCGGAACTGCCAGTCCCCTGCCGGGAGTGGCAGTGCTCAGGATGTGTGGATGGGGCACCCTGGTCCTGGAGAGCTGATGTTGCCCCGAAGGGAGCAGCTGCAGCACGCAGGTGGCTGCAGTGAGGTCATTGTGTTGGCGGTGAGGTTGCACCAAAGGCCTTGAACATGCTTCTCCTCTGAGGTCTTGCCTTGAGTTGAGCTTCTCTCAGACATGGGTAGCACATTTATATTTTAGAGTGGTTTGTAATCGGATGGCCCCTGAGCCCCATCACATGCCTGGGGAAGGGCTGTGGAAATATTGTACTGAATAATGGGGAAGGAACCAGAGCTGCCAGGGCAGGAGGAAACGAGGAGGAGCACACACAGATTTCTGTACAGGTTGTACTGTGCAGCCCTTTGTAAGGTAATGACAAAATGCAAACGACCTAAACTTCGAAACATTGGGGATTATGATAACTAAATCCATTCACAGAATTCTGTGCAGCCATTAAAAGTGATGTTCTTAAGGGCATTTAAGAATATGGAAAGCTGTTTAAATTCAAGCTTACAAAGCAAATCATAAAATAGAGTGATGTGATCCCAATATTTTTAGGGATTTGTATAGAAAAAAAGACTGGGAGGGCGGCAGACCCTAGCATAGTAGTGGTTTATGTTTTGGCTTTTCAGACTTCTGTGTTTCTCAGTTATTTCACATGAATGATTTGTTATTTTACAATGAGGAAAAATACAGGTTATTTATGAAATAAAAACAGTGTCAGAGTCTGCGACACGAGCAGGATCAGATAGCTGGCGAAGCTTCAGTCAAGTGGAGCGCTGTGGAGCCAGGTCTCCCACAAACCCACGTGCCACGCCATGCCCGTGTGCCCCACGTCCTCTGCCTCAGGCCTGCTGGAGGTGGCCATGGGGAAGCACAGCCGGCCTCCTCCTGTGTGCAGCCATGCAGACCAAGGTCACCGCTGTTTGTCCTGACCTTGCACCGGGTGTCCTCACCGTGCACCAAGATGCCCCCATGCAGGCAGAGGAGGGAGGAGAGTGGCCCGGATGGGACGTTGCCTCTGGCTGTCTCCTGTTCTGTGCCTTGGGTACCTTACGTCACGTCTCCGCATCACCCTTCACCTTTGAGAGGGAGGAGAGTGGTGCTCTCAGGGTTGGAGAACTCCACAGAGAGACTGTGGAAGCACCCACCTGCGAATTGCTATTAGATCATGCATGACCCGTGAAACTAGAAGTCTTCCTCATCTTCAGCTTCCTGTTCGCACTTCTGACTGTGCTTGAGGCTGGCTGCACGACGGGGCCTGTGCCAGGCGCCTGGGAGCCAGGCAGGAATGTCAGAAGGCCCTGGCCTTGCACTGAGAGGAACCTGCAGGCAGCTGCTCAGACAGCAACTCAGGCCCAGTGTGAGTAGTGCAGGGGAGGGTATCACACAGTGGTTCCCCGTTCACGCTCACGGGAAGCTCCCAGGCAGTTGGGGTGCAAGGGGCCGCCTGGCCTCTGGAGAGACTCCTCACTGTTCCCCGCCACGGAACTAGAGCTGCTGAGGGATTTTCCACAGGAATGACTAGCCCTGTGCTGTGCCCGTTAGAAAATGCAATGAAGGAGCGACCTCATTTCGTGATAGTAAAACAAAATGAATAATTTCAGTGAGGAGGGCATGTGACCCACTCGGCCTGAGCAGCAAGGTTTCCTAGACTTTAAAGAACACCTGAGTAACGAGAATATGTGCTGTCTTCCCCTCGACCTGGTTTCCCCAGCCCTGAGTAGGCTGACTACGCTGTGCTTTAATTTGGCACTGGCCACAGAGAGCCCCTGGCGGCCGTGTGCCTCGCTGCTGTGTGAGCAGTGCTGACAGCCCGTTTCTCTTCTTGCTTTCAGAAGTGACTGGAGAGTCGCGTCCTTATCATGGGAAGGAGGCTGTGGATCCGCGGCCGGGGCGGGCCCGAGGCAGCGACCCCAAGCACTTCCACGCGGTGAATGTGGCTCAGCCCGTGCGCTTTAGCAGTAAGTTGCAGACCTGCCCTGTCCGGGACCTAAGCGTTGTTGCCCCGTTTGGCCCCTGGCCATCAGGGCCACTTGGCTGGAAGAGGGGTGTGCCTCCTAAAATGGCCCTTCAGCCCCTGCATGGTGAAGCCGTGATGCAAACCCAGGCTCTGGAACCAGGCTGCTTGTTTCCACAAGTCAGAGGCTTTTTGGGGTTGGACTATACCGGCCGTTTGGTAGATGGAGAAATAAGCTCCCAGAGCTTAGGTCCAGCTGACGGGGAGGGAAGGCTCTACCTCTGTCGTTAAGCCATTTTTGAAGAGACTAGTTAATGTCCCTATGACATTAAGATTTTAAAGGAGCGTTACAAGATTAAAGAAGGTTGAAAGACAGAAAAGACACACCGAACTCCCCCCCCCCGCCCCCCAATCCTAAACAGACAGGCGTAATGACATACGTAGGTACAATGCACCAGGACAGGAGGAACTGACATGAAATATGTCTCCTGCAGTCTAGGAGTCTGTTGGCTATGTTAATACCCCCCCGCCCAACACACACACACAGACACTCAGCACCGGGGGGGCATTTCAGCTCCTGGGTTGTCTAACCCAGACTGAGCGAGTGCGGAGCCGGCGTCAGCCATTCCCTATCCTGATGCAGTGCTCGGCCTTGATCCATAATAGCTGTGAACTGCAAGGATTCTCGTGGTTGAAAGGGCACTGGGCAAGCTTGGCAGGTGAAGAAACTGAGGCTCTGAGAGGTCATCCCACCCAAGGTCATGCAGCCAACGGGGGACTCAGCCCTGTGGAGTCCCAACTCACACTAGCCCTTTTCATTGCTTATCTGTTTTTTTTGGAACAGGTAATATTTCTACTGAGGTAATAAATCCACAAATTTCAAATGATTAAAAAAGATGAGCCAATAGAAAGTAATGTTCCCTCCTTCCATTGCTCCCCACCATCGGCTGCCATCCCGGGTTTCCTCTGGACCCATCCCAGGGTGATGGGCGAGGAGCCCGGGGTGGAAGCCCGCCCTGCTGCTTGCCAGCCGAGGTGCTTGGCCCCTGTGCGCCTCGGTGTCACCACCTCTGTCTGGAGACAAGGCGGAACCCACGTGGAGGGGGTGTGGTGGGCAGAACGCATCATGTGTGGGGGCTTAGGAACCATAGTAAAGTCTCCCCTGGTGATCCCCCTGCCCCTCAAGGCCACGCCACACACTCAGCAGGCGTGTGCTGCGCACCCCGCACACCTTCCAAACAGGGATGATCTCAGGGCTGGCTCCTGGTCCACCGTGAAGAGCCTTCGTGCACGCTCAGCAGTTTGTGAGCGGGTCCTCCCCGGTGGGCAGGTGGCGCTGTCCCCCTGTCGCACTGCAGCACTGCTGTGGCAGGCCTTGGCTCCGGGCCAGAGCTGCCATTTCCTCTCTTGTAATCTCTGTACCTCTGTTAATAAGTTACACACATAGGCTCTAAATAATAAAAACACGAGCATCCATCTTTCAGAAGTTTTACTAGTTCCGCAGGATGTAGATGGATTAAAAAGTTGGGGTTAACAGTTGGCTTTGTTAAAAATTATTATTATTCATTAATGTGTGCTTAGGAGGTGGGTACCCCAGCATCTGAAGGCTGTAGATCCTGTGGAACAGGTCATAGGTCTTACGTAAGGCCAGCCATACAGTAGGGCAGGAGTCTTCCCGGCCCGGGGGTGGGGGGTGGGTCCGCCTGGTGAGGAGACATGTGGGCTGGCCCACCTCAGGGAGATGCAGGCTCCCACTGGCTACTCTGCCTTTGCCTGCTGCACAACCACCTGGGCCTCACTTTCTCGTCTGTGGGAGGCAGGGGCTGGTCCCTTTATCCCAGTGGCACTTCCAGCTCTCATCCCCTGAATTTCTGTTTGAGGAGAGTGCTGGCCAGTACCCAAGTGAAGAGAAAAGGAGGGCCAAGGAGTGGGCTCAGGAAGCAGTGGGCTTGCTGGTGGAGTGGCCAGAGAGCCAGCTGTTGGGGCAGTGAGGGCAGTGTGGGCGGGGAGCCCTTCTGTTCACCCCCGCCAGGCTTGCAGTGAGCAGACATGGGGAATTCTGCCATCTCATCAACCAAATTTCACCTGAGAATGAAATCTACTTTACCAAAATGCATTCAGCAGCCAGTCTTTACTGCCAAGTCAGTCAAAGGCCTTACCGAAATGAGAGGAGTCCCTGAATGTGTTTCTGCCTTGGGCTGCATCTGTGTCTTAGAGAAACTTGCATTTCACAGCATATGTGGTCTTACAGGCAGAGCTTGCTTCTTGAGCCTCATTTTCCCCATTTTTCTGGGGTGATTTCTGACCTCTGCTCAGATGCAGCATATCTAATTGCATTTTGGAGTAAGGATCCTAATTTAGGGGACAACCCCCTTCCCGCCCTTCATGTTTCCTAGGGAAGTGCCCGACAGGATGGCATCACTATGAAGGCACGGCCAGCTGCTACCGGGTCTACCTGAGCGGAGAGAACTACTGGGACGCTGCGCAGACCTGCCAGCGCGTCAACGGCTCCCTTGCCACCTTCTCCACTGACCAGGAGCTGCGCTTCGTCCTGGCCCAGGAATGGGACCAGCCAGAGCGGAGCTTCGCTTGGCAGGACCAGCACAAGTGAGTCCTGAGGTGGGGCTCCTGGGCCTGAGGTCAGGCTGCCGCCCAGCAAGCAGGATGCCCACCGAGGCCATGGCCTCTGGCCACCCATGACACTCCGCAGGCTTAGCTGGCCGGCATTTGGGGGAAGGGCAGCCCCATCCACTGGAAACAAATAGAGATCTGGGGTTTAGAGCAGGCATCAGGATGATGTTGGGAGCTCTTAGACGGGCAGGGATGAGCTGCCACATTGTATCACCTCGGGCCAGTCCCCTTCATTGGCTCCCATCTGGGTTCAGCTGCAGCTGTGTTGGGAGGGGCTGTTTGATGGGGCTTCGTGGGCCTGGCAGGAAGGCCATGCAAGTGGGTGGGGGTTCCTTCCGAGAAAGAGGAGAACTTTCAGGCCTTATGCTCAGTGCTTCCCATCGGCACACTTGTTCAGTCTTCCCAGAAACCACAGGAGGCCAGTGGGTGAACACGTAACTGCAGACACGCACTAGCTGGGGCATGCCCAGGTTCCAGCCCACGCAGTCTGGCTCCAGAGCCTGGCTCTTGACCCCAAGGCTCTGTGCCGTGGAGAAAATGTGGCGGTTGCAGCCAGCTGCCAGCATCTCCCAGCCCAGAGTTTCCAGGGTCTTGTTGGGGGGCAGGTGTGTGCTGAGGACTGTGGTGGTCCTCCCCTGGAGGTGGTGTCCTGCTGGCTCTTCCACGCAGCCGGGGGTAGGGGAATGGATTGTAGGGGTTGCCAGATGGCCAGCGCTCCCTCTCAGGGATGCCACGCCGCTGTAGGAGCACAATGGCAGTGGCAGGTGGAGAGCGAGCCTTCATCTTGAGACCCTGGCTGGGTTCAGGCTCCACCGTTAACACCCTGTGATGTTGGCAAATCACAGTCACCTTGCTGTTTTTCCTTCTACAGCTACAAAGTGAGAAAAATATCTTGTAGATCACAGGGTGATTGTGAGTCCATGGAGAAGCAAGAGGGTTCAGCCCACTGGGTGGGGAAGCACCCTGTCTCCCCAGGGTGGGCGTGTGCATGGCAGTAGGCTTAAGGGACAAGAGTGGCATCGATCCAGATCTCCCATGGTGGCATTGGGCATGCTGACGGGCATCTCCAGGACTGTGGCTGGAAGGCTGGGGTGAGAGGCACACACTCAGCAGGTGGTTGTGGCAGTCGGCCAGGACCACGGGCGTGGCCCTGTCAGTGCTGTGATGTGCGTGCTCAGGAGCACACTGCAGGTCTGGGGCGAGCTGCCTCGAAGCGGAGACCAAGTGGGAGACCATGAGCATGGTTTTACCCAACACTGCACTGTAGACTCGCACGGGTTTATTGAGATGTAATTCACATACCATAAAATTCACCCCTTCAGAGTGTGCCATTCTGTGGTTTTAGCATATTCAGCAAGAGTTGTATTCACGGGGCTGTATATACCCCAAGAGTAAGATTGCTCTTGCATAGAATGTGAAAACTGTATTGGATCAGCCAATAAGAATGGCCTTGGCAGGAGTTACCCAAGATACAACTTTTTCTGACCTGTGAATTTATCGTTTAGACTTCTAATACATTTTATTAAAATTAAGTATCAAAACTTAAAAAATCATTACTGCTTTACAAGCTTGGTATCTGAAAGGTCACTATAACTCTAAGGTGTCCACATTCATACCCCGTCCATGGCTGTCTCCCTGCTGTGCTGAGGTCTGCTGCCTTTCACCCTCCTGCAGGCTGTGGGTCGGCTACCAGTATGTCATTGCCAGCCGGAACCGCTCCTTGGGTCGCTGGGAGGTAGCCTTCAAGGGTAAGTCTTTCTGGTCGTTCAGAAGAGTTGTTGGGTTTGCAGTTGGGGGGGGGGGGCATCATCCTGACTAGGAAGATTTTGCTAGGGGCTCCCCACTTCCCCCACCCTCTCCCCAGCAGTGCCTAGTGCAGGGCTCATGGAGAGGAATGGGCCCCAGACTGTGGGGAGCACCGTGATGATGGGCGGGCACCCCAACGCCCTTCTTTCAGGCCCTGTGTGGGGCTAGAGCCTTCTCTGGAATCTGTGCTTCCTTCTCACTGGGCCATATTTCTAGACTGTCCATTTTCCCTTTAAGTGAAGGCCTTTAATTGAGGTATAAAAATGAACATACAGAGTGTGCAGCTGACAGGGAGGGAGGGATAAGTCTTCTAGGATAGAGACATCAGAAGTAGAATCCGAACTAGAAGGAAAGCCATCAGGCAGATGGAATTAAAATAGATAAGAGTGTGTATGTGTATGTACATGTGTGTTGCTTTAAGGATTTTATGCTGAGTTGCTTGGAAATGCCAACGTAACGTAAAGGAAGCATGTCTGGTGTGGGCGGCTGAGTCCTGCCCCCTGCCTGTCCCTGTCCCTCCCCTCCTGCCCCATTGCCCTGGCACTGGCATGTTTCACCCAGGCCCTGGATATGGCCTCTCCACTTGCTGCCTGAGCTATGTTCCCGTGCCCTGTCCCCTTTTCAGGCCTTGCTTTGGGGCTGCTGTTTGGGCCTGTGGTTTGAGCTTGGGTCCTATTTTCCCCCAAACATGTCCCAGTCCCATTGTGGATGTCTTAAGTATCTCTGAGAAGGACAAGTGAGGAATGGTGGTCCCAGGGACCCCAGAATTTTGCTCTGTCCACCTCACTGTGGAGAATGAAGGAATTGACCTCAGAGCCCACCTGTTTCGCAGCCTGAATGGCCTTGAGGCGGGCTGTGTTTTTACATAGAGTGGGTGAAGGCACAGACAGGATCAGTATTCAAAAGCCCCAGGCAGCTGGCTTCCCTGGAGAGAGGCAGGGTCTCACGGGACAGGGGTGCTAAGCCTGGCAGCCGGAAAGGGGCAGGGAGCAGAGATGGTGACTGCAGAGGCCCCAGCAGAGGGGCCACACCTACCAGTCTTTGCTCCTGCTTGGGAAGTCACCCCATTCTTGTGTCCTCCAAATATCCTATTGAAAGCATGTCCCATATTTGCAAACTTGGTCTTTCTGAAGAGTTGTGAGTGTAATGCGTAGATGTCCCACCAGAGTAGTAGATAAGTAAAGAGCTTTTGGGTTTCCAGGCCCAAATACCTTGCAAAGGGTAAATCTAGTAGTTCCTCATTGCCCTAATCACAGCCATTGGTGGTGAATCCTAGGCCAAGGCCCACTGCCCTGACCCCAGCAGAGGGCGCTGGCCTTCGGGATAGTATAGACACTCCTGGATACTGTTACCTTCTTGCCATTGGCAGTTAAACAGAGAATACCCCAGTCTGCAGTGCATGATAGCATGTTCTGAGCTGGGGGGCGTGGGACCGTCATCCCTGGCGAGAATGGCAGAGGCCCCGGGTAGGCTCTGATGGCCGTGCTTGTCTCTGTGGCAGCCCTGGGGCATTTGGAGAGCAGTCGTGAAAATAAGTGTGTCGGCACTGGCAGCAGTGGCTCAGTGTGCGAGGGACCCGAAGCAGGAGTGAGGCGCCCACACGGACGGTGCTGATGCCCTGACCTCCAGCAGCTCGGCGTGGGTCCGTGGGTGCAGCGTGGTGTTGACTGCTTGTGCCCGCTTAAGTGAGACTTGGCAGTTCTGTTCGGGATTTAAATTAGTAGCCACAAAATGAATATGTGGCTAAAAAAGGTTCCTCTACTACCGGATAACTGGCCGGAATACTTGACACAGCTCAACATAATTTGTTCTGTTTTTTTGTATTTTGTCTTAGGTTTTTGTTTTGTTTTGTTTTTGTTTTTTTTGAGAGGGAGAGAGAGTGGGGCGGGGGAGGGACAGAGGGAAAGGGAGAAACAGAATCTCAAGCAGGCTCCACGCCCAGCACAGAGCCCGTCGTGGGGCTCCATCCCATGACCCTGAGATCATGACCTGAGTCAAAACCAAGAGTCAGACACTTAACTGACTGAGCCACCCGGGCACCCCTGTTCTGGGTTCAAAAAAATTAAAAGAAAAAAACATAAACTCACATGTAGCACATGAATTCTGATGCATCCTGGATTGGGAGGGGAGTTATAAAAACTTTAGGGCACAGTTAGGGAAGCTGAATCTGGATTTGTAGTAGAGGTTGACTCATGGGTTTTCAGAGGTGTGACCATAGTGTTGTGCTGTGGACGAACGTGTAGGGCGAGCTGCCATGATGCAGGACAGAGGTTCGTGGGAGTTCATTATTTCCTTCCCTCTGTTTTTGTGTCTATTTGAAAGTGTTCATACTGAAAGCATCTTAAAAGGTTTCTGCTAAGAAACTCCAGCGTGGGAGAATACTGAAAACACAGCCCCAGCAAACAAGCCGGTGGCCAAGCCCCTGCTTTTGCTTACGAAAGTTGCTGTTTGCGAGGTGCCACCTGCTTCAAAACTGGGGATCCGGCCGGGCCTGACATGTGGGCCCAGAGATGATGCATCACAAAGGCAATGGGAAGTAGATTTAAGTCTTTTGTCATTAATGGCAAACTCGCCCCAAAGGAAAGACTGCGTAAGAATATGAGCAATGGTGGTAGGAAGCCTCCACGAGAAGGTGTTTAAAACTATTCACTTCGGGCGCCTGGGTGGCTCAGTTGGTTAAGTGACTGCCTTCGGCTCAGGTCATGATCCCTGGAGTCTCTCTCAAATAAATAAATAAATAAAATCTTAAAAACAAACAAACAAACAACGAAAAAAACTATTCACTTCATTTACATCTTGTCCAACGTTTTCCTGTGTGTTTTATAACGTGTTGTGTATCGGCACAGTGGTGCCCGCAGAGTATTATCCATATATACACACTTCTTATCCGTGTATGCAGGCACCCCACTCCCCAGGTGCACTTTAAGTTTGGAGCTCTGCTTGTGAGAGGGCCTGCTCCCATGGCCTCTCCCCTTAGAGGGAGGCCCTGCCTCCGGCTTCTGTCTGCACAGCAGGTCAGCCCCACCCCAGGGTGCTGAGACCTTGATGTTGAGGTAGCACCCAGGGCCTGGCGTGCCCCGGAAGGTGGAGAGCTGCTGCCACCAGAGAACACGGGTGCCACCTTTATAACATTGGTGACCGAAGTCTGAAAAGAGATCTGTGTTCTCCAGATGGAATCATCCCCATTTTCCCATAAGCCACTCCCCAGGGCCCCAACATCATTGTTGTTAACAGTGTCATTTCAGTTTCTGGTTATGATACATGATATTTATTTTAAAATACAAAAATGGAAGCATACTGCATGTTTGATGTGTCCACGTTGTGTAACTTGCTTACTTAAGACCTGCTCAGTCCGGCGTCTTGGCCCCCATTATCCCCCCATCTCAGCATGCCCACCTCTAGGGGCTCACTTCCGTCACAGGTGGGCTGAGGCCACACATGCCACTTAGGAAGCCCTTTGTGGTCTCCATCTTCTTGGCCCTGGTGCCCACACCCGGGGAGTGTGACCCACTTGTGTGCCCCCTGACCCGTCCTGATCTAGAATCTTCTGTCAGCAGTGAGGAAGGGGGCGGCGGGGGGAGGATCAGGGCTCAGGCGGGCCTAGAAGGCACAGTGCAGAGACCCTGCCCTCTGGGTGAGGAGACTGTCAAGCTGGAGTGGAGTCAGCTGGGGTCAGGCCATAGTTCTGCTGAAGGAAGGCAGCCCTGAGAGTGGGGTTGCTGCCTCCAGTAGAGGGGCATTTGGGAGGATCCCCAAGGCCCCTTGTGGGCCCCAGGGCAGGCCCGTTCGGTGGGGACTGTGGTAGCATACAGGAAGGTGAGACCCTGCCTCGAGAGGCGGACAGCCTGCTGCAGGATGGGGGGTGCCGACCGAGGAAATTCTGTGTTGTTGTACGTGGCCGTGTGTGGCCGGCTAAGTACAGCTCGTGTGCACAGGGAGCACTTGCCGCCACCCCCACCCACCCCCACCCACCCCCATCTCCTCACACAGCTGTCTGAGGGTCCTCTATTTTCCCCCCTCCCACCCTCGTGGCTCCTTCTCTCAAGAAAGGCTGCAGCAGCCTTTCCCTCTGCCCTCCCTCCAATGCCCCACAGCCCTCCTCTCTAGCCACATGCCTCCTCTGCTGCTGCTGGAAGCCCTCCCTGGGATGCTCCTTCCCCAGGTCAGGGCTCGCTCCGGAGCAGGGCAAGGTAGCACAGCTGGCCTGGTCCTGGCTGGCGCCTGGGACGGCTCAGGGATTAGGCGGAGCCCACTGAGTCGAGCCGCCTGGACCACACGAACAATGGGGTTTATGGTGAACACCGGCTTCCCTTGATGAGCCTGGAATCGAGGTGCCCGGGGGGCTCCTCTGGGCAGAAATGCCACACCCATGTGGCTGTAGCTTGTAGCTAGCAAAGGCCCACACCCTCTTGCAGGTGGGAGAGTGCTCGGGAAGTCTGGCCTGGATGCCCCGACTCCGCCTGAGCTGTCCCCTTCTCTTGCTGTTGGTGTGTCATGCTGTGTTGCTGTAATAAATCTTAGCCATGACTGCAGCTAGAAGCTGGGCCCCTTGAGTCCTTCTAGCAAAGCAGCACGCCTGTGTGTAGTGTGGGACTCCCAACACAAGCCTTGTCACCCCTGCCCTCCGTTCTCTGCTCCCGAGGCACTGCTCCAAGGTCTGCCTTCATCTCCATGTGCCAGCTTTCTCTTTACCTAGAACAGCCGTGACCTTCCAACATCACATACACTTCACTCACTAGGTCTCTTAGTCATCTGTTTCCACTCCCTCCCCCCGCCCTGATTTGAGCTCTGCAAGGCAAGGCTCGGTGCACCCTGAGTGCCTGTTTATAGGATGGGGCCTGTGGGCATGTGTTAAGTCAGTGGGGGAGATGATTAGGAGGCTCTGTTAGATGCCTGGGGCTGCCCTAACAGAGTACCACAAACTTCTGGCTTAACACAAGTTTATTTTCTCACAGTTCTGGGGACAGATCCAGAATCAAGGTGTCGGCAGGATTGCCCTCCCTCCAGAGGCTCCAGGAGAGTTCCTCCTTTGCCAGTGCATAGTGGCTCCTGGCGGTCCTTGGCTTGTGACAGCCACACTCCAGACTCTGCTCATTTTCCACATGTTCCTCTGTGTCTTCTCCCTTGTTGTAAGGATACTGGTCCTTGGATTTAGGACCCACCCCAAATCCCAGATGATTTAATCTTGAGAGCAAAATAAGGTCACATTCTGAGGTTTCAGGTGGCCATGAATTTTGGGGGGATGCTCCTCAACCCACTGCAGAAGCTAATTGAAGACCACACGGAGTGTGTTGGGGATTTAGCTGCTGGCAGAGAAAGAATGGCTCCATTTTTGGGAAAATAGAGTATGAGGTGCCATAGAGAGGGCACATAAGATGAAGGCTTGAAAGGAACTAAGTTTGGCAAAGAGGAAGTGATCTTCTTAGTCATTGGTTTCAAGAAACTGCAGTCAGGGTAAATAGGGCTTCTGACCAGCACAGAGCGAGGAGGCCCAGGTAGTCCCAGGTAGTCCCATGGGCACCAGTGGGTGGGAGGAGCTCGCTCCACTCTGCCCTCCCTGTGCCCTCCGTCTTTGCATGGCTTGCTGGGGCCTGAGCCACCCTTACCCCACCCTACCCTCCACTCTCAGCTTGGCTCAGGCAGGTTCCACGCGGCTGTGGGCAGGACAGGGGGTGGGGACCAGGTGCAAGGACTCTACCCTGAGAGGTCATTTGTGGTCTTGGTCAGAGTTTTGCAGTTATGCACTGACATTGTGCTCTGGGCTGGTGACTAGACTCAGGGCTAAAGACTTTTTTTTTTTAAGATTTATTTATTTTAGAACATGAGCAGGAGGGGCAGAGGGAGAGGGAGAGAGAATCTCAAGCAGACGCCACACTGAGTGCAGAGCCTGATATGGGGCTCAGTCCCAGTACCCTGAGATCATGACCTGAGCTGAAACCACGAGTTGGATGCCCAACCAGGTGCCCCTGAAGACTTGTTTGTTTTTTATAAAGGACAGGATGAATCTATTCCATTTTCAGACCATGAGACAAGAAGCCAAATAGTGAAGAAAACAGTTTTTAAGAAGGGAGGCATCTCCCATCTGAAGGAGAAGAAGAGGGCACACAAGGGTTACAGGAGGCCTCATTGGGGAACAGGGGCTGGATGACACTGTGCTCATGGCAGGGCCCACTCTTAGCATTAGAGGCAGTCTCCCCAAATGGTGTAAGAAGACCCCCCCACCCCTGCCCTCCCTCTACGGTCCTCCTGTGAGTCTGACCACTGGGGCCCCAGTATCCCCTAGCAGGCGTGCACTGACATTGACTGTGCCTGTTGGCTGGCGACTGGGCTTCTAGCCCATCATGCTTCCCCAGAGTCCATCTTCCTGCCCTTGTCAGGGAGCTGGGAGGCCATGTTCCCAGCGTCTAAAGGATGAGGCCCCCCCTCCAGACTCGCTGGCTCTTTAAAACTGACCTCCATGCTTAGTATTGGGAGGAAATAGAGTTCAAAAGGCATGCATGGGAATGCCTTGTTGCTGTCAAAGGGTAAACCGCACTGTCATCTTAATAAAATGAGGGTATCTCCGGTGACCTGCGTCCGGGCTAGCCTCAAGGCATCTTTTGGTGGTCCAGTGTCGGAGGGTTCTCTGAGGTAGAGAGTGGGCTCTGGGAGCTGGCTGTGCTGTGCCCCAGATATGGCCAGAGTCCCACCTCCTGGGACATTGCAGAAGAGAGGCTTAGAGGTTCCTGCCCCCTCTCCCTGCACTCCGGCACCCCCACTCTGGCCTGCTAGGGCAGGACGATTTCTGATTGCCTGGTCCCCAGCTTGGAAGGCAGAAGTTCAGTGAGTGACAGAGTCTCCCTGGAGCTGGGGCTTTCCAGTTCACCCGGGCAGCTGATAGCCCTGCTGGGCTGTCGGAGCCACGATTCTGTCGGAGTTGTATGTCCCGGCATGTGCAGTGGGTGCCTTTTTGAGCCCTTCTCCATTTACCAGTTGATACCCTGTTGTAAGAGAGGATCCCCCCGGCCTTGTTTATTTGTTGTTTATCCATATGAGCTCAGACATTTTAATCCACTGTGTTCTGGCCCGTTACTTTATTCTTCGTGTTGCCCAGAGCAGTGCTCATGGGAACTAAGGGAGGCTGTGAATGAATGCCGTAACTGCAGTGTGCACGGAGCACGTGGCGGCCCACAAGCCCTTTGACTGATGGTCTGGTTTGGGGGGTCTTGGTCCCCATGAGGACTGCACCTGATTGGTATGTTGACAGCATGTGATTTTCCCCCCAGGTTCCTCAGAGGTGTTCCTGCCCCCAGACCCCATCTTCGCGTCGGCCATGTCGGAAAGCGACAGCGTGTTCTGCGCCCAGCTCCAGTGCTTCCATTTCCCCACCCTCCGCCACCACGACCTGCACAGCTGGCATGCCGAGAACTGCTACGAGAAGTCTTCGTTTCTCTGTAAAAGAAGTAAGCCACCGTGGCCGTGACTCCTAGGGAGCCGTAAAGAAGTGCTTCTCATGAGTACATGAATACGGCTCTCGGATTTCCGGACCTTGGCGTCAACCTTGAGTAGCCTTTGACCTCACGGTGCACCAAGGCAGACCCCTGTGTCGCGGTGGGGCGGCAGGAGCTCCTTGCCTGGCTCACACCCCTCTCTGGACGCACACCGCCGCCGTGGGGGGAGGGCAGGAGCTGGGCAGCAGTCTGTGTCTGTGAGCCCTCGTCCCTCTTTCCCAGGATAGAGGTGGTAATTCCTGCCCTCCACACCTCGTTGTTGTTCGGAGATTAAATGAGAATGGTGACGGAGGACTTGCCACATCTTGTGGTGTCTTGGAGCCTCTGACTCCCCCGGTCACCCACCTGCACTCTCCTTGGATCTTTCCAAGACTGCCCGCTCTGCATCTGGGCTGCTCCCCCGGCTCCGTCTGTGATCCTTCCCTGTCCCTCTGCCTGCTCCCTCGCTCATATTCCACATTGAGGCCTCCTCTGGCTTCAGGGACACACAGTGTGTTGTCCTTAATGAGGGCAGGGACCCTCGTCCAGGCCCCTCTGCGGTGGGAGGAGGGATGAATTGCACCCAGAGGCAGCATGTAAGGCAGGCTGGGTGGCAGCCGATGGTCTGAGCGCCCTTAATTTGGACCATCATTCCCTTCCCTCCTGATGGGTCATTCATCAGGGGTTCATAGATGTTTGAGCCTATTTCTGGACTCCATTCTGACCCTTGGCTGTCTGTCAGTCCCGTGCTGATACCACACCGTCTTTACAGGAGCTTCGGGATATATCCTTCTGGCCAGTGCTGGGCTTCCCTGCCTTGCTCTTGCCCCTTCTGTTGCTGACTCTCAACATTCTTTTCTCACCTGAATTTTAGGATCCGTTTTCTGAGCTCCATTATTAGAACGCTTACCTCGGTGGATTCTGCTAGGTTTTCTATTTATGCATTTTTGTGTCTTCTTTCAAATCTTTGACTTTTTATTTCTTTACGTTTTTTTCCCCTGGTGTTCCTTTACTTGCTAAGGGCTCAGTGTAGTGTTGATTAGAAGTGCTGGTAGTGAGCATAATCTTATCTTCCTAGCCTCAAAGGGAAAGCTTTCAGTGTTTCAGCATTAAATATGGCACTTTCTTTAAGATTGAGAAAATACAGGATGCCTGGGTGGCTCAGTTGTTAAGCGTCTGCCTTCGGCTCAGGTCATGATCTCAGGGTCCTGGGATCGAGCCCCACATCGGGCTCCTTGCTCAACAGGGAACCTGCTTCTCCGTCTGCCTGCCACTCCCTCTCCTTGTGCTCTCTCTCTCTCACTCTCTCTGACAAATAACAAAATCTTAAAAAAAAAAAAAAGATTGAGAAAATACCTTTTTGAGGTTAAGGAAGGACCTTTCTGTTCCTACTTTGCTGGGAATTTCTACATTACAAAAATGTAAATGGTTTTTTGCACTTATTGGGATCATGTGGCTTTTTTTCTTTACTGATTTATATTACTATTTTGCTTATATGATTTTATTTATCATTTACTTTTTTACATTAGTAGATCTCTGATATTAAATCATCCTCAGGGTTTTTTGCATATATATTGCTGGCTTTGCTTGGCTGATATTTTATTTAGGATTTTTTTTTTTTTTTTAAAGATTTTATTTATTTATTTGAGAGGGAGAGAATGAGAGAGAGCACGAGAGGGAAGAGGGCAGAGGGAGAAGCAGACCCCCCGCCGAGCAGGAAGCCCGATGCGGGACTCGATCCTGGGACTCCAGGATCATGACCTGAGCCGAAGGTAGTCGCTTAACCAACTGAGCCACCCAGGCGCCCTTATTTAGGATTTTTGAAAATCTTTAAAGAAATGAGCTTGTCCTAGGGGCGCCTGGGTGGCTCAGTCATTAAGCATCTGCCTTCGGCTCAGGTCATGATCCCAGGGTCCCGGGATCGAGCCCCGCATCGGGCTCCCTGCTCTGCGGGAAGCCTGCTTCTCCCTCTCCAACTCCCCATGCTTGTGTTCCCTCTCTTGCTGTGTCTCTCTGTGTCACATAAATAAATAAAATCTTAAAAAAAAAAAAAGAAATGAGCTTGTCCTGTTATGGTCCTTTTCTTTGCTTTCCTTGACTAGTTCTTGTATCACATTTATATTCGATTTATGAAATGAGTTGGGAAGTGTCTAAGTCACTTTGCACTAGTTGGGGATGATCTTGTCCTTGAGTGTTTGTTTAGTAGACCATATCCTGTAGAACTATCTGGGCCTGGGAGGCGGGGGACTTTGTAACTTGTTATTTAGATACACAGTTGATACTCGAACAACATGGGTTTAAATCCACTTACATGTGGATTTTTTCAGTAACTACAGTACATTGTTGTGAATGTATTTTCTTTTCCTTATGATTTTCTTAATACTTTTTCTCTAGCTTATTGTAAGAATACAGTATATAATACATATCAAATACAAAATATGTGTTAATTGACTGTTCATGTTATCTGTTATCAGTTACTGTTTGGGTCAACAGTAGACTATTAGTAGTTACATTTTTGGGGAGTCAACAGTTATACATGGATTTTCAACTATGCAGAGGTCAAGGCCCTTAACCCTTGCTTTGTTCAAGGGTCCACTGTAATTTCGAACTTAGGGAAGAGTTGTGGTAATGGTATAAAGAACTTCCTCTCATATATCCCCTACACAGATTCACCAATTATTTGTATTTTGGCACATTTGCTTATCATTTTTTCTCCGCATATTTATTCTGATCCATTTGAGAGTAAATTGAAGATATTGTACTCTAGAGGCCTAAATATTTGGTGTGTTTCCTAAGAACCAGGACACAGTCTTACATAACCACAATTATGAAAATCAGGACATTTAACATGAGTGTAGTGCTAAACAGTAATCTGTAATTTGTTATGACAGTTTTGTCAGTTGTTTCAATAATACACCTTATAGCTATTTTTTTTTCCTGGTCCAGGATCCAGTCCAGAATCATGCATTGCATTTAGTTGCAGTGTTTCTTTTTCCTTTTTGTCTTTTAGTTTGAGTAATTTCTATTGATGTGTTTTACTAATTCTTTCCTTATCTTTGTTGAGTCTGCTTATGAGCCCATTAATGGCATTTTTCACCTGTTTGGTTTTGACATTTTGTGTGTTTTTCATTTCTAGCATTTCTATTAGATTCTTTTTATTTATTTATTTTATTTTAAAAAAAGATTTTATTTATTTATTTCTCAGAGAGCGAGAGAGAGAGAGAGAGCACAAGCAGGGGGAGGGGCAGAGGGAGAAGGAGAAGCAGACTCCCTGCTGAGCAGAGAACCCCACACTGGGGCTTGATGCCAGGACCCCTGAGATCATGACCCGAGCTGAAGGCAGCCGCTTAACCAGTTGAACCACCCAGGCATCACTATTTGATTCTTTCTTGAGTTTCCATCTCTCTGCTGAATTTTTATCTCGTATATTATCTGCCTTTTGCATTAGAGCGTTGAACATATTCATCATAGTTATTTTAAATTTTCTGTGGGATGGTTCCTTTATTTGAGTGTAGTTTTGTTGATCTAGTTGTCTCTGGAGTTTTTGTGGGTTTTTTATTTTTTCTGGCTTTTTGTATGCCTTGTAATATTTTGTCGAAGATCAGACAACTTGTGTAGGACAGTAGAGATTGAGTTCAGTAGGTGGTTTTGGTACATGGAAAGAGGCTTGCCTTTCCTTCTGATAGGACTTGTGTGTAGGGAGGGTCTTTACTGCAGTGGTGGTGTGGGGGTCAGTATGGGCAGGTTTTGGGCTGGGCTGTGGGTATCCTCCATGCAGCCACCCTTCGTATTCAGTAGCTGCCTTGTGTCTAGAGTGGAGCTGGTTTTCCAAAGGGCTCTTCTTTCTTTTTTTTTTTTTTTTTAAGATTTTATTTATTTATTTGACAGAGACACAGCAAGGGAGGGAACACAAGCAGGGGGAGTGGGAGAGGGAGAAGCAGGCTTCCCGCTGAGCAGGAAGCCCGACGCAGGGCTCGATCCCAGGACCCTGGGATCATGACCCAAGCCGAAGGCGGACGCTCAACGACTGAGCCACCCAGGCGCCCCCCAAAGGGCTCTTCTTTTTTTTTTTTTTAAAGATTTTTTATTTATTTGACAGAGAGAGACACAGCGAGAGAGGGAACACAAGCAGCGGGAGTGGGAGAGGGAGAAGCAGGCTTCCCGCCGAGCAGGGAGCCCGATGCGGGGCTCGATCCCAGGACCCTGGGACCATGACCTGAGCCAAAGGCAGACGCTTAACGACTGAGCCACCCAGGCGCCCCCAAAGGGCTCTTCTTAATGTCTGCTCTGCCCTCTGCTTTAGATCTTCCCTTAGGGCCACTCTTGAGAGAGTCTGTCTCTTGCAGCTGTCTTAATGTGTGTGGCCATCACCAGCATCTGTCCTGCCTCCAGCTGAAGTGTGGATCCATCACGGGGTTTTCACCAGTGCCCTAAAGGCTCCCGGTGTGCTCTGATTGGAAGCAGTTGGCATGGGAAGCTGGGGGCAGGCTAAATAACTACAAGCCAAGCAATTAAGGCAATTGGTTTGAGGGGCATATTTGGCTTTCTCTGCTGGGTCCTGCCTTGGAAGTGTGGAAAAAACAGGGAAGCTCATAGTCATCGACCAAATCCTAAATGTTTTGGGCTGGTCGCCGCAGAGGCGGTGGGTCAGAGCTCTGTTGTCATATATGGCCTAGCCATTGTCTGTATATTTAGTCTCTTAGATACATCATCTGATGAGGCATGTGGTGTCGCTTTGCCCTGACATTGGTGACATTAGCTTTGATCCCTGGATTAAGGTTGTACCTGCCAGATTTCTGTACTGTGAAGTTCTAGTTTTTCCCGTTTTGAAATTAATAAGTAATATGTGAGGAGATCCTTTGAGGCCATGTAAAATTCCTGTTCCTCATCAAATTTGTACCTGCTGATGTTGGCATGTATTGGCAATTTTCTAACTCTGTCATTCCTTCCATATTTACTAGTTGGCATTCTAT